TTTTTTTTTTTTTTTTTTGGTTCTTTGTTGGACTTGTTTATTTTTTTTATTTTCAGTTTTTTATTTTATTTTGTTTCTTTACTTTTTATTTTTTACTCGTTTTATTTATTTATTTATATTTTTATTTATTTATTTATTTATTTATTTATTTATTTAGTTGGTTACTCTAGAGAGGTTTTATAGAGTAGAGTTTAGGGTTTAGGGTTTAGGGTTTGGGGTTTAGGGTTTGGGGTTTAGGGTTTAGGGTTTGTAGATAGAGATAGAGAAGCCAGAAAAAGAAGAAGAGAAACAACAAACAGTAGAAGCAACAAACCCTAAACCCTAAACCCTAAACCCTAATCTATGAGTTGCATATACACCCCAAAACAAAACAGAACAAAACGAAACAAAAACAAAACAAAAACAGAACAAAAACAAAACAAACGGAAACAAAACAAAAACAAAACAACAAAAAACAAAATACAAAACAAAAAAAATAAAAAGGGTTCTCGATGATGAAACCACAACAAAAGACAAAAAGAAAAAGAAAAGCAGCGAGCAACAAAGAGACAAAAAAACAAAGATACATTTACGTTTTATATAATAAAAAACAAACAAAAAAAAGAAAGAAAACAAAAAAAAAGAAAAAACAAAATATTAACAAACAGCCGACGCAAAACAAAAACAACAAAAGCACTAGATATACAAACCCTAAACCCTAAACCCTCACAAAACCCTAACCCGGTTACAACAGCTACAGCTAGCTGCAGCTAGCTACAGCTAGCCGCAGTAACATATACAGCTAGCTACAGCTAGCTACAGCTAGCTATGCTGGATAGGGCGTTTCACAGCCCCCACCGCCACCAAACCCTAAACCCTAAACCCTAGTTCCTTTCTCAACACGAGACAAACGCCACAATAAAACCCTTTTGGCTAGCTACAGCTAGCTAGCTAGGGTCTAGCTAGCTACAGCTAGCTACAGGGTCTAGCTAGCTGCAACTAGTTGCAGGCTCTGGCTAGCTAGCCACAGGTAGCTCCAGCTAGCTAAGCCCTACACTTGCAGCTAGCTGTAAGACTTGGCGAGCTGCAGCTAGCTGCACGTTATAGCTAGCTGCAGCTAGCTGACGCACAGCAGCTAGCTGCAGTTATAGCTAGCTGCAGCTAGCTGCAGTTATAGCTAGCTGCAGCTAGCTGATGCATTGCAGCTAGCTGCAGCAAGCTGCAGCTAGCTAGAGGGTGTCTTGGAGGCGGGGGCCTCAGCAGTTATGGCCCAATGCAGCATCAAACCCTAAACCCTAAACCCTAAACCCTAAACCCTAAACCCTCAACACTATAAACCCTTAAACCCTAGACCTTTAGCCCTGAACCCTAAACTGTAAACACTAAACCCTAAACCCTAAACCCTAAACCCTCATTCTCACTGCGCAGTACACCTGACCATCGTTTGCTGTATTCGGCGCTCCACAAACCCTAAACCCTAAACCCTAAACCCTAAACCCTAAACCCTAAACTTTAAACCATAAACCCCAAACCCCTAGATTATAAACACTAAATTCCGGCTATTAATAAGAGTCGTTTCATCGCCTCCAGCCGCTGAGGGTTTGTGGGGGGTTTAGGGTTTAGGGTTTAGGGTTTAGGGTTTAGGGTTTGGGGGGCCCCCCGGTGTAGGGGGGCCCCCACCCCCCAAGGTACAGTGTATGCTGCGTTTTTGTTTGTGTATTATTATAATATAAATAAAAAATAAATTAATATTTTGTTTTGTTTGTCTTTTGAGCTGATAAATAAACAAAAAGGAGGGGCCCCTCGCTCTCTACCTTGGGGCCGCAGCAGCAGCAGCAGCAGCAGCTGCTGCTGCAGCAAAGACACAGCAGCAGCAGCAGCAGCAGCTGCTGCTGCTGCTGCTGCTGCTGCGGAATTTTGTGTGTCTTTTAATTATTTTTATTTGGAGTACCCCCCTATTAGGCTTGGGGGGTTTAAAGGGCGAAGACAGCAGCAGCAGCAGCAGCAGCAGCAGCAGGATCCGCTGCAGCAGCAAGAGCAGCAACAGCAGCAGCAACAGCAGCAGCATCAGCAGCACATCAATTTGACGCTCTTTTGCTTGCTCTTCCATCCTAAACCCTAAACCCTAAACCCTAAATAAAATATTTTGTGTACGTTCCAGCTATAGAGGCGGAATTTAAGGGTTTAGGGTTTTAGGGTTTTAGGGTTTAGGGTTTAGGGTTTAGGGTTTAGCTCTCACCCTAGGGAGGATCCATGCCCCTGCTCGAATGGGACTGACTCGGAGCCCAAGTGCAGCAGCAGCAGCAGCAGCAGCAG